TAAAACAACTAAATTTAACAAACATCTATTAGAATTTCTTCTGAAAAACAAAAGACAGTGCTGTATTTATCAAATCTCCAAAAAAAAAGTAAAGGAGAGAGATATATAATTTCCTACTCCTTGGGACATGCTGTACAGTTCCAGTCACTTAAACCTGAAACTCAGCCAACATATAGACACGCTAAATTTATAAGAAGTACCAAGAAATACATTTGCTTTAAGCAAACAGACTTGATAAGGCTGGCAGTAAAAATCAAGAGTAAAATGTGATTCATCACTCTTTTATGTTGGTAAATTGCTCGTTTTATATTTGAAGTGATCTGATTTTTGCATCACAAACATTCAAATGTGCCCTCTAGGTAGATTAAAAATATATATAAAAGAAGGGAAGGGAATTAATATGAGAAAATGAAAAAATGGAAACAAAGTCTTTGTTAATAGGAAGGGATGGAGGTGTTGAAGGGAGGGCAGGGGAAGGGGGAGAAATAAGAACCAAGAGAGATTATGTAAAGGTGCAAATTTCCAAAGATGAATGTCACTATATTGTATACCTAAAATGTACCAATAAAACTAATAAAAATATATATTTGTATATATAAAATATGAAAGTAAGATACAAACAAAAGCACTGTATAAGAAAATCTGGGGCAGGTGCAGTGGTACACATCTGTAACCCCAACACTTGGGAGGCTGAGGCAGAAGGATTGCTGTGAGTTCGAGGTCAGCCTAAACTACATAGTGAGACCTTGTCTCAAAAAACCAAAAAACCAAAAGAAAACAAAATCTAGGAGTGAGGAAATCTTCAAAAATGAAATTGTAAAGCCACAAATGTTAAAGTAACTTTGAAGATACAAAAAGTAACTTAGGATTTCCGTTCAGGAAAGAAAACACTTTATAAAATTAACATGCAGATGGAAATATTATGAGAAGGAATGTTGATTCTCTACAAATGATAAATACCTAGAACAAAAAAGATTTTATCAAAAATAATTTCTCACAGGGCCGGGGATTTAGCTCAGTGGCACCATGCCTGCCTCACAAGTACAAGGTGGCGAGTTCAATCCCTAGTACCAAAAAACCCACAAAAAAAGAAATTCTTCATCACAAATATGAGAATATGATATAAGCAGATATTTTATAGAAGGGCTTACACAGAAAATGAAAAAAATGCATTAATAGATGCATAAAGGACAGACAAATGTGGAAAGATAATCATATTTCTGTATAAATCCATGAAACTCATCAAATTAGAAAAAGTCTAATGTTGGTTGGCTATGAGAAATAGGAACTATTGTTTCCTGATGCTGGGACTGTGGATGGTGTACATAAAGGTTTAAATGGATACATACTCTGCGTACAAGCAAATAGGCTCCTGAGCCTTAAGCATCTACGGCATTTTCTCAAATCTGCCTCTAGGGCAGCAAATCAATGTGCTTTGTGGTGTTTATATCAGTGACAGAGCTAGACAAGCCTGCTTTCATATAACTATGTAAACCCAATTAAGTTGTTCTGGAGACAGAGACAGACAGTGGAGACCCTGTCAAGAGTTACATGTACAGCAATGCAAATAAATGTGGAAAATAGTATTAAGTGAATCAAGTGAAATACAGGATGAATTCTCTAACGTGCCCCTATTTGGGCACTCTCAACATATATGTACATGAGAATGATGTGTAGCTCAGTGGTAGAGCACATGCACAGTACTCATCATTCTTCAGGATCTATAGCCAGCATAAATAATGTACATGAAGCTATGGTGCAGAACCCAGAAGTGATAAGCAGGGTCACAAGTGTGGAAAGAAGACACACCTGCATCAAGGCTGTCAAGCAAAGCAGTAGTAATATTTGGGTCCAATATTTCATTCTTTTAAGGACTGTCCTGTGTGTAGTGGGACACTGATCAACATCCTTGACCTCTACCCTTGCTGTAAATCTTGCTCATGCTCTACATCATGATTATAAAAACAAACAAAAAAAAGGTGATATACATTCATGTATTTTCTGATGTGTACAATCATCAATGCCTGAAAAGCCCCAACTTAGCAGGTGCAATATGGACATATAACTCCTGAGTGATAAGGTACCCAGAAAGGGCAAAGACCACAAGAGCTGCCAAAATTCTCTGCACCCCAAACCCAAGCAGAATGAATGACATCACCCCAAGTACTCTGTCTTTGTACACTCTCCTCTTGTCCCCACCACCTGCTCTACTTTCCAGATGTCAGTAGTGTGAAAAGCCAGAACAGGCTCCCCTGCTTGGGTCTGTGGTGACACCCACTGGAAGATAGGAGGACAGACTAAGGGGTGCCTTGAACTGAAGCTCTGTCCTTTATCTCAACTGTGCCTTTCTCTGTAGGCCATTCCCATGGGTTTCTTCAGGATGCCAACATGGGGAACCAGGGGACACTTAGGGGGATTTCAGGAATTGCAGTCTCATGTCACTTATGGAACAGAAAACAAAGGCTCATGGTCATCTTTTTACCTAGAGAGAAAACAATTAGTACACAAGGGAAAGTATCTTAGAAATAAGAGTGCTGGACATGCCTGTCTTCAGCCCATTAAAGTAATGGAAGAGGAAGTGGAATTATAGGAGTGAACAACCCAGTATAGAAAGGCAGATATTGACCTAAGGTTAAAGCAGCTAGAAGAGTTCCCAGAATCAGCATAAATTAGACTAGGAATCAAATGTTTTCTCTTTAGCTTTGCACATGCTTGGTGTCTTGTGTTCAAACTGCTCAGCCCTGTGTCATCATGGAAAAGTCTGATCCTATTCCCTTGTTATGGTAATGTAAGCCAGGGTACGACGAGAGTGGGGGACCTCTTTATAATACCAAAAACGACAACAAAAAAGTCAGCAAAACAAACAAACCCACATATAAACCAAAAAAACACCCCAGCGTAGTCTTCCCTTTTCAAAACAGTACTCATACTATCTCCTGGCTGGGCTGCTTTGGAGAAGCAGCACACATTCTTCAATTACTGTCACACTAAGAACCATCTGACCTCAGCAGAAGAGTTCACAGTTGTAGTTGCTGATTTCACTTCCCTCCAACAAGCCCTGCTCTCCCATTGCCTTTTTACTCCCTTTTGTGCCTTCTATTTTTTAAAAAAAAAACCACCTTTTACTTCTCTTCCTTCATGTGCCTGTAGACCTTAACTATGGGGATTTACCTCTACTTCAGTGCTTGTTTTATACAAAGTTCATTTCAATAACATTTCAAACTTAAAACAATCTGTAGAAACAGTCCAAGAACTATAGCAACTATTTTAGAGATAAGAGACCCCTTTCCACCACTACTAATATCACATGTGCATGTCCATGTAGATAACCTAATTCAATGTGTTTCTCAGTTTGGGTTTAACAGGCAGCCCTTTCAGAAAGTTATCCTTAGCAAGAACCCCTTCCTCTCCCTTGGTAATACATTAACAACCCTTCCATTTTTCTCAGCATTCTAAACTTTTTGAAGGCCTCATTTAAACAGACTAATTGTAAAGTTAGTTACCTTGTGAGTAAGGCACCTAGCTAGGGAAAATGGCCTCAGATAGTTGGGAAGGAAGCCATATTGATAAGAATTAAAATAAGAATAGTGAACTACAGACAGTGGACCCAGAATGAACTTCCTCAAGTAACATGGAATGCAGCCCCTGCCTACTACAAGGAGTTGCAGCCAATTCCTACTAAGCTCCTAAGTTTCCAGGAACTTAAAGTGGGAAATAACTAGTTTTTCTCTAAAATCTGTTTTCTGTAAAATTTACATTATAAGAAAAAGAGCCCAAGTTCCAAATGGTCATTTTAAATACACAGAGTCACCTGTGAAACAACTGAGCAATTACTGTGCTCTGATTATCTATAATTAGCTCTGGATTGAGCAGCCACATGGCCACTCACTCAGGATGCTTCAAAGGAATCAAGGAGCTATTCTTTTTTTTTTTTTGGTACTGAGGATTGAACTGAGGACCTTCCACTTTCGAGGCAGGTAGCGGAACCACTGAGCTAAATCCCCGGCCCCAGGGAGTTATTCTTCATTCCAATAAAAATTCTAAACCTTCTTTTTGGTTCATGACCTCATTCCACAATGTTGTGAGACCACCAACTCTGTTCTTTATCATTGTGAGTAGAGGTCTGACATAAATAAACTAAGGTGATAATTGTTTGGGTGGCCGAGTAGGGAACACAGAGTTCACCACATGGATGGCAACTACTCCACCCCTGAGTTATATCACCTGCAATGTTCTGGGTTTTTTTTTTTTAACCCTAAGGCACTAAAATTTATTAAATGATGCCATAACAGAATTCTTCATTTACAACAGCATTATTTAATATCAAATAAGCAAAGAGCTTCAGCAAAGCAATATTAACATGCATAAATGTATTTAAAATTTCTCTGAATATATCTACCTTTGCATAAACTGCCACACTAGAAATACAAACATCAATGCAGGGCATCACCTGCAATGTTAAACCTTTCTTTGGATTTTCATGGCCCTTATTAACACCTATTATGAGTTTGGCAATATGGGGAAACATTGGAAATTTTGGAATTCACTGTGAATATAAAAAGGCAGTGGTCTGAAGGGATGAGGTGTGGGTATGAGAGCTGGCATTGGCGACATTTATAAAGGTCGGATCTTCCAGGTCTGCTACTAAAAGGATCTAGCTCACCACAGCTGCACCCAGCTCCAACCCATACCTGAAACAGGGTCTCCCTAACACCCCCTCTGTATCTCCCCAGACTGGTGTAGATGAGGCTGTGACTGGGGCCACCCAAGACGGCACTGCGAGGAGGGACTGTCACAGTAGGGACAGGATGCAGGGAACCCGGAAATAACCCTCACCCAGCACAGGGAAAAGGGGACAAAAGCACCAAAGACCAGGAGAACCTCAGGGTCTGCTGAGGCTAAGCAGGGAGGCTGTAGTTCCCCGAAGCTGGTCCTGGCCACCTCTTTTCAGACCTCGTCCCGATTCCATCCCATCCCCGGCTTCTGTCCCACAACATCACCATTGCGTGGCTTCAGGCTCTCCTGGAGTCCTTCCTATGCAGCGCTCAACCAGTAAAAGTCACAGAAGGTGGCCAAGCAAACCAGGGGGCTCTTAGCAATATGCTCAGAGCACGAACTTTAGCGCCATGACACCGGAAGAACCCTCCTACATTGGCCCACCTGATTGGACAGTTCATACAGCCCGCCTCTTTATCGCTGATTGGCTCCTGTTCCATTGCCCTCCCTCTGAGTCAAGAATGAGAAGAGAAATAAACTGCGTGCATGGATAGAGTTCAAATGATAGATTATAACCCAGGAACTTCCGGACCAGGCTCTTTCCCAAGACGTCAACCTCACCTCGCCCAACAATAATTGTATTTAAGCATTTTACTCCTGGCTTTCCAGGGATGCCCCTGCTTTCTTAAAGGATTTAGTGTGCTCTTCCTGAAAATGGAGTCACTTCTGTGCTCAGAAGTTTCCACAGTTAGTGTCCTATGGAAGAATCAATCCCCGATGTAAAAAAACATCATGAGTGCAGGCCAGGACAGGACAAAATGGAATGGAGGGAGAGTAGGGTGTTTGACAGGTCACTATTTGGGAACGAGGCAGCAGGCTTCATAGGATCTTCACACTATCTCAATCTATTTATTTTCAGCCAAGAAAATGAATATATGCCCCCCAAGTGAACACAATTATTGTGTTAATGAAGAAATTAGAGTTAAATGACAGCAATATTCTGCAAAACAGTAAAGATGAAAGAAAAACAAGCATTCTAACTCCATTAGGCAAGTTTCGTACTTCACCAAGGGTTGACCACCTTTAATTTTGAGATCCTGCAAAGAAAACGTAAAAGTTAAATGACACAAGAAGAGATCTTTTCCATGCTCACAAAATGATTTTTATCCTTATCAGTCCCTACTTCTTTTTTTTTTTTTTGAGGAGCTACAGCCCCAGAACCATAGACAAAAATTGCATACAGGAGAGAAAAAGAATATTTAAGAGACAGTTCAAGAAGTTATCAAAGGAAATGCATAGAATCTGCACAGTAGATAATGGCAAGTATCAACCTAAGAGTCAGTACACTGCAATATACTTCCAAATGCAATTCCATTCCCCTCTTTCCATTTCTTTTCCAAAAGTGGAGATGGATTTCAACACGGCCATGACACTTCACTTACCTCTTATTTCTGATTGGTTTCAAACCCAAATCCATTAAGGAGCTTTATATTCTAGAAGTAATACACCTTAGTCATGTCATTTTTTACCTTTACCCAACATTTCACTCTTTAGTGTAGTTTGTACTCATTGATCTCCTCCTCTGTCAAAATCAACAAAACCCATGAGATTTTATGGGACATTTTTCACTTCTGTGGCTCTTCTGCATGCTTATGGCTTGGTTTTAAGTATCTATGCTGAATATCAGAATTATTCCTCTAACAACAGTGTCAAAGTTTTAAGCCTTCATCCAATGCCCTGTAATCATACACAGGGAAAGTGAGTGCTTCCAACACACAGGACCTTGCCTGCATATTAGATTCCTAAATCATCATAAGGACTTTGGGAGGTGCTTTCTGATTGGCCCTGCTTTTCTTGATGAGGCAGCTAAAGGTGGGGAAATTGAATAATGTCCCAAGTCCTCATAGCTAGTGGTAGACTGAAATGTATGTTTGTCTCCAAAATGGGTATTCAGTCTCTGCAGTGGGCTATCTATCCAACATGGAGACTTAATTTTTATATATATTATCCCTCCCTAAATGGTTTCTGTGTACTCAACTTCAACCTGCTATCATGTTCCCACTCCTAAGGGGTTGCTTCCTTGGACACCTTGAATGGGAATCATTGCTTTCTTATTCAACTCAAGATATGAGTTCTCCAGTTTATTATCCATTCCTATGTCAGAATGTCACATATAGCAAAATTAGTAAAGAAATAAAATACAAATTTTGAGGCTGGAAAGTCTAAGAGCATGGCACAAAAATCTGGTACTGTAAAACCCTTTGTGCTGCATGGCACATTATTGAATGCCAAGTAACAAGTGACAAGCCTACTTCACTCATAAGTTTGTCACTTTCATACTAATAACATCATTCCATTCATTAGAGCAAAACACTCATGTGCCCATCACCTTATAAGGATCCTTTATCTCAACTCTGTATCACTAGATATTCAGTTCAAACAATAGGAAGTTTAAAGGGTATATTGAATCTCACACTGGATTACTGATTTGAAACCTCACTTTAGCCAGGAGGAAGTCCACAGTATATACCCCTAGACACAGAAACCTCAATGCCAGTCTCCATTTATTGCTTTATTATAGGTGACCTAAGTAGGATTCAATCTTTTGTTATCCATCATGTGTTTATTTAATATAAATGTTTCTTGTTACATCATAAAAAACATTCATAACAATGATGAAATGGTTGCATGAAAGACTCAAGGTAGGCTCCAGGATTTAGCTCAGTGGTTC